AATTTATATTACATGAATCATTCATACAAAGAGAAGTAATGCTAGAATGATACGAATAGTCCTCTATTCATCAATGTGGCATGTAAATTTTTTTCCTTATAAAATCAAAAAACTTGGAGATGATATAATTTGTATGTCGACCAAAGATATTTATATATTTAACATCAAATAAACTGAAAACTATAGACATCAAGTTTATCGACGAGGATCATTTGTGGACTATGGATTAACAGTATTTTAATGCTGTATTATGTTTTCTAGCGATGCATGCAAATTTGTTCTGGTAAACTTTTCTGATTGATTCTATGTGTGATTATTTCATGTAGATTATATGCATTAATGTTTTCTCATCATTTTTTTTTCAAATATATATATATATATATATATATATATATATATATTATAATATATTCTTATTTATTTATATATGTATGTATATATATATATATAATATATTTCATATATACATATACATATATTTATATATATATATATATATATAATGTATTCTTAATTCAGATATATATACACATATATATATATATATATATATATATATATATATATATCTTGAATGTATATATATAGTGTGATAGATGTAGATAGATTGATACATTTAAAATGTCTGTGTTCTGTGTTTGTTTCTGTGAAACATGTTTCTTAAATAATATTTAGCCTGTCTATTTTATGTAAATTTTTTCATTTGTCTGATAAGTTTTAATTGAAATCATTAAAACGAAGAAAGAAAATCACAATATTGATAAAGTATTTTTTAATCCTCTAAGCCTTCGGCTTATGTGTTATTATTATGAAGATGACAATTACATTAAATATATTCAGCAATACACGGACAAACAAACATGATAGTCTATTTCTGTTTACATGGAAGATTTCAACAACTGACAAACTTGTGCATATAAGACGCTGGATCGAAAATCGTACCGAAGCTCATTTCACCTGACCATGCGCAATGATTCTTCATACACCAACTTAGCGAATGCAAAAACTAACTTAGTTTACAAATTCAAGCAACTTTTTTGGAGAAATTATCTCCAACGAATTAAATAATATTTATGTTGGTCACACCACAAATCGCGTTCACGACGCTTGACACTACATTTGAATGATAACTCTAATATTTGTACCGCATTTTTACAACATTAATGGCTCAGCTACCAAATTCCGGAAAATCAATAAATAAAAGCTAAAAATTCTTGAAATATATACAAAAACAGTTAAACCTAATAACAAAATAAACTGGTAATTAACACAAATATTCTTAAATGTTTATAAATTTTTTTTAGGTCATTTTTATACCATATAAATTACTATATAATTACTATCTCAAATTCACTGCTTTCATATACACACAACACACACACATCCTATTTTTTATAGATAAAATATACACATATACAAATATAAATATATATATATATGTTTATATAGATATATATTGTTATATATATATATATATAAGAAACATATATATATACACATATATTATATATACATATATATACATATATATATATATATATATATATATAATATATATATATTATATATATATACATAAAAAATACATTTTTTTTATATTTACATATACAAAATGATATACAAATATAAATATATATATCATATATATACATATATATTTTATTTTATATATACACACATATATAGATATATATATATATATATATACATATATATACACATATAACTTTTGGCATATATATATTTATATAAATTCATTCATTTATATTCATATATGCCATATATATTCATATGTACATTATATATATATTCTTGACCCATTTCTATTTCTGATTAAATTTACACAAATAAATTTTATACATATACATATATACTTATATACATGGATCCATGAATATATATATATTTATCTGCTATAAAAAATTTGAATTAAAATACATATATAGACATACATATCATTTTTATATATATATATATATATATATAGTACATATATGAATATATATACATATATACACATATATACATATAACACATTTATATATATACTACCATATATATAAATATATATCTTCTGATATATATATATATCACATATTTATATATACATATATAAATGATATATATATATATATATATACAATATATATATATGTGATATTATACGTATGGCGATATATATATTTCATAAAAATGCATATATACACATATATATTAGATATTTAAAACATATATACATATATACATATCATTACATGTATGCCCTATATATTTTTATATATATATACATACTTTGAAATACATATATATACACAAAAAATATATATATATACACACATATATATATGTATACACACATATATATTTATCTTGCTATATATGTTTTATATACATATATATGCACACATATATATGCACATATATACATATGTATACATACATATACACACACACACACACATATATATATATATGTATATATATATATATATATATATATATATATATATATATATATATATGTCATCCTAAGATTTTTCTCAAAAGGAAAGTGTCATATATTCAGTTCAATACTGGTTTGATATATTGGTGGACAATTTAGTTTGAAAAGTTTCTGTGTATCTATGTTGTAAATATATTTTAAAACCTTTATTTTAATTAATTTTCCACCAGATTTTTTAGTTGGTAGGAGTTCAGAAATTAGTGTAGACTAGCAGTAGAACCAGGCGTTGCCTGGGGATATAACAGTAAGAGATAGGATTAAGTATCCACCATCATAAAAGATTGAAAAATAAAATCTGAAAAAGATTATTGTTTAGTTCAATTTTGGACATGCATGTCTTAAAATAGTTTTTTTTTTTTTTTTTTTTTTTTTGGTCAATCCCAAACTCAAATTTAAACATTGTTTTTCAATCGTTATGAGTCTCTACCGATTGAATAGAATTTTATTATAAACAATTGTCTTGTAAATTGAATTTTTTAAATTCTAAATGTAAAAAATAAAAGAAAAAGTCTATGCAAGACAATAAGAAACACTACATGCAAAAAAAAAAAAAAAAAAAAAGTGGAGTTTTGTTGAAATCGGTTGAATAATGTAGGTTCAGCTTTTGTGGCCTTTTTAAAATCTTTTTTTTTATAGATAATTTATGATTTTTTTACTTATTGAATACAGTAAAAAAATTGCATATTTTGCTTGTGGTATTCAGAATTAGAATTTGATTTGAATATATTTTCCACTGTTTTTTAATACAAAAAATATTAACTTTATTTGGGTTTATTAATTATGATCTAACAAATCTTATTCATTTAGTAGCCTTTCTGTAATAATAATCTTTTACAATTTATGATTTTTTAAATATTGAATACAGTAAAAAAATTGGACACCATGTGTATTTAAAGTAGTTTCCGTTCCAGTTATTATTTTTAGTTAGGACTTGTGTATGTTTAGATTTCATTATCTTTCCCTAAAGATAAAGAATTTATTCAAATGTTTGTATTCATACAATCAGTAGAGATCGTTAGATTATTATTGTTTAAGGTTGACGGACACACACATGTCTTAATTAGTTTTTTTTTAGGAATTGGTCAAACCCAAACAGACTCAAGCAAAAAACATTGTTTTCAATCATTATGAGTCTCCTGATTGAATAGAATTTTATAAAACAATTGTCTTGTAAATGGCATTTTTTAAAGCATTCTGAATGTAAAAATAAAAGAAAAAAGTGTGCAAGAGAATAAGAAACACTACCTTTGAAAAAAAAAGGGAAGTTTTGTTTTATCGGCTGAAAAATATAGAAATCTGTCCCATATTTAAAAGGAACCCACACACAAAACAACCTAATATGAGTTGTCCCCTTCCATTTTCACGATGTCTTTTAATCGTGTTTTCAAATTGATTTTGTGCAAAAACAATTATATTTTCCCATTTTTTGGCGCTGTTAGAACCACCACAAGATAATTTTATGTAGTGAAGTTTTGTTGAAATCGGTTGAAAAATGTAGGAAATCCGATCCAATATATAAACGTTACAGACACACACACACAATCTGCGTTTTATAAGATTAAAACTTAATATGATCTATTTCTTCTTAGTTTATATATATATATATATATATATATATATATATATAAATATATAAATGAACCGTAATCATTCTGCATCTAACAACTTTGGCTCCTCATGGTTTACTAGCAGCTCTGTAATAGTGTATTAAATAAGAGTAAAACCTATTCCTCCTCTTTCAATCAATTTGAGGTGTTAATATCTGATAAAGCTGAATGTTTCACCTGTAAATACTTCTTAAACTCTTGACTCATCTGGAGTATCTTTGCCTAACTTCCCACTGTCCTGAGTATGACAATAAACTACACCCGTGTCCTGGTATGACGATAAACTACATCCGCGTCCTGGGTAAGATGATAAACTATATCCAACAGCAAAGCCTCTGATCAGGATGTTTTGAGGAGTGTGGAACCACCTCTTAATTGCTGGTGTTCCCATGTCCACCCTGACTTGGAGTGGCAGCACCTGTTATGGCCCCAGCTATGGGCAAATAGTTAACCCCGAAACTGGGGTCAAAACAATGAAAATGTAAATATAGGTTTTAATACCAGAAATACGTTGTAAAAAAAATTATTCCCCGCAATACATTTTTTGGGAAAAAAAAGATCTTACCAGCAACAAAAAAAAAAAAAAATAATTACTGGCCATAGTTTTTTTTTTTTTTTTTTAAATATTACTAGCAATAAAAAAATTATTGGCATTAAATAACCCATTGAGGTTGATATGCTATAAAACAAACCAAACGTAACTTCCAACAGAATTGAGTCTTTGCTGAATGATATGCATATAACCCCTTCTATGGTTTCTATTGCTATCTACTGACCTCCTAATTACTCTTTTGTTCTCATTCCTTAGTAATGTTTCTGTTTTCTCATACTTCCACACCAGTAACCCACCTGATAGCCACATAAGAACCACACATTCAATACACTTTACGATGCTAAGCTGGCATGTCAATTCTACCTTCTCTATCCACTCAATAACTGACTGTGCAGAATAACTTCCATCAAATAGTGGTATTAGTTTAGGATCAAAAGCCATGATTGCCGAAATAGCCGTCACACAAAAAAAAGGGACCCGCAGGGACAGGCAGTTTTCCCTCGTCAGCTCCCTCGACCCCAACGATATTTATTGTACATGAAATCTACAAATGCAGAACACAGCGAAAAGGGGGAAAGGATGGTCTTCTTCTGTCTTAAAATTAAACTTAGCTAGCCACAACCACTGACCCAACCATACCAACAATGTTCCTTTCACCAAAACAACGCATTCTTACTTGCCATTCTTACCACATCCACCATAATGCCTCAGAGACTATGAAATTCTAACTATTCCCCATATACAATTCCTTTTCTGTGGGAGGAGGGGGAATAAAAATAACAGTTTAAAATCTAAAAAACCCACAGCCCTAACTGTGGCAGAAACATCAGTAACTGGACAAAATCAATGAGGGACTCTTAAAAATATAAAACATTCGTACAAGCCATGCACCCACACAGTCATTCAAACACAATAATAAATACGAAAAATACACTCGAAACGAAAAGTGCCCCGCACCCACCAGAGAACTGATATCACTAACCACCTAAGGATGGGAGGGATGGGGAATTAAACAAAAGAAAAAAATATAGGGCCAGAAATAAAAGGGGCCAATGAGCATAAATACTCTAGCTAAGTTAAAGGAGAAAAAAACTAAAACAAAAACCGACTTACACGGAAGGGTTGCCAATGTTCAACCCAGCAATTCCCAAAATTCTTAATGCCTAACCAACATCAAAATGCCACTCCAAGTCAGCACCCTTCACTCTGCAGAGACGTGCAAGACTCACCCACCTTTCGCCAAATTTCAATGGATAGAGTCGTTTCCTTTCCGTCCTGATTTTGACATTAAGCTAATAACTTAAAGAACACGATCAGTTGGGAAGAGGTAAACTTTTCGGTACCATGAAATTCATTCTGTCGTCCATATCACGACTCGCATAACCCACAGGAAGCAAAGGAACACATAGTGCTCAGCCTCAGTCAATGGCAGTACTATATTGCTACAGACAGAACTGGCCTTGAAGACAAAAAACTTTCTGCACAGCATGCGAACCATGATGTCTTCAACGAACTTGCACAATGCCGTAATGTCTCTTCATGGTCCCAATAAAAAGAAATAGCTCTCAAAGAGGAGAGTAACAAAACAAGGGGGAGACCACTTTTGATCATTCATAATTCATAACATTTTTATCAAATCTCTAAGACAAATATTGGGCTTTGTTGTTTTTATTTTTCTTCAGTAATGGATGCTCGATGAATCAATGAGTGGACCGTGCTAATGTTTTAAAAATGTTTAAAATCTTTTTAAAATTATTTTTCTTTTTTTCATGGATCAGCCTTTCTTTTGTAGAGAGAAATTTGAAATAAAACTAAAATTTAACTTGGAATACATTTTTAAGTTATTTAAAAATAAAATACGTTTTTTGGTTTTTAAGATGTTTCTCGTAAGTCCATAGTAGTCAAGTAAAAACCTGTCTTGAAAAAAAAATGTAAAATAAAATCAGTGCCCATTTGAATGTTTCCATAAAGTTTTTATTGCCTTTTTTTCACAATTTTTGTAACCTTTCTTCAGCTAACAGAACTGCTAACGCACCTGATAGTCACCCGCCGTCAGAATTTTTGATATTGACAAGTACGACCGAAAAGTTAACATAATCGGTTTCTTCTCCACCTTTTTCTTTTTTGTTTTCAACTCGTACCATCATTCTTTAAAAAATATTTTCTCGTACACATTAACGTCTTTTTATAAACCGATTTTCCTATGTGAATTGCAAAGTCAACGTTTTTTGTTTTTTTTTTACTTATTTGGTCGTAATTATTTAAACACATTTCCCAAACAGTAAGTTTTATTTACTTTTTCATAATGTAAAATGTCTGTAAATTATGGATTTTATTTTTAATAAAAGTAGTAGATTTTTTTTTATTATAAAAATGAATTTTTAAAGCTAAATATACTGAAAATTCGAAACTAACTAACTAACTAACTAACTTACTTGTTAACTTATTGCAGAACGTGTTGAAAAGAACTCTGGAATTTATCAAGGTTTATGTTTTTTATTTTATACAAAAATAATATAACGCCTTAACTAATGTCAAATAATTTTAAACATTGAAACTGTTTCTAAGCATCAATAAGATCATAAAATACATTTTTTTGGAAATGTACATTTAACAACACAAGTTTTCAATGATCGGCATTTTATTTTTTACCCACGCTGCAATAGTCTTTCTTTACTCTTTACTTTACTCTATTATTTTCATCAAAATAGTTCACTGATTCTGATACTTTAATTATGAAAGTTAAAGTGTCAGGAACTGAACCTTTTGTTGAAAATCTAATATTAAAACAACAAAAAAAAATGGTTGTACTTAAATTTTCAATCTCCTTATATTGTTTCTTGTGACTTGCTTGGTAATTGACCCCCCCCAATCGGAAAAATATGGGATTTTGTTTATTTACAACTCAAAATTATTTTAAAATGCAGTTAAGGCATGAAACAAAACAAAAAAATTGTGATTCATTTATTTAATGACTGACATCGAATATGAAATAGAAGACCAGGCACCAAGAACCAGTTATCAAAAATAATTAGTCATACAAATTTTTAACGTGTTTATACTGTTCAACTAACATTTTTAATTTAATAATTTTCTATACAGTATCTCTTGACACCTACGGGTAGACTTTTTGTACTAGATATAGTGTTCTGTCCACTCGTACATGATGCATTCCGTGCAACTCCTTGACCTCATCTCGGCCTGCACCGCACATCGCTGTAATAGCTTTCTCTACTTTCAGCCAACTTTTTTTTCAATCTGGTTAGAGCATCGGCCTTATTTCTGTCAGAGGTCATGAACGTTACACTCAGTTTTAAGTTAAATTCAATCATTTCCCTCAGAATCCCTAAACGTCGCATGATAATTAGCTCTGCCGCTACTTTTGTACAGATCCTTTTTTCATCTGTTATCAAGACTGATCCAACTGCGGACAGTAACCGAATCAGTTCGAAACTCAATCTCTTTTAGACCCCATTTCAATGCAAGGTTTACACCCATTATCATAGCATCCAACTCAGCAACGTTGATATGGTTGTAGTCACATTTGTTTCTTAACCATGCCGCATCTTCAACTATCACACCATCGATCTCAATGCATTCACCTGTGGCCATACTGCTTGCGTCGCACCATACAACGCCCTCTTCCAATTTGGGAACATGCGATCTCCCCCGAACTGGATCATGATGTCAAACCTCTTCCACAACTTCCCATACCACTATCCACTATGTCTTCCCAATCGATTTCTTCTGCTGTTCTCTTCAAATAACTTCAGGCGATTCTAAGCCATCCAGCTATTGGGTAGTGGCCCACCATTTTTCCGCAGACAGCGAACAGTTCACACCAGCTCATTTCCTCATGCCCCTCAGGTAGGTCATTCCCTCTCGCAAATACCAGATCTCCTGCTTTATCTGTATGAAGCTGAAGATCCAATGCTGCTCCTCCTTCTAATGATTCTGGTGGCTTTGCTGTTAAGCCAAAGTTGTTAAGATGATTTACAAGGTCTGCCGCTGGTACCAGTTTCATCCACTAGTATATCGTCAATATACGAATCCGTGTTTTTTCCGATGTGTTCCTTTTTTTTTTTTTTTTTTTTTTTTTTTAGCACATCTTTTAGGATTTTTGACATAATCTTTGGGGCTACATTTAGTCCAAAACCCAACCTAGTTAAACAATAGGTCTGTCCCTTGTACTGAACTAACTGGTACTTCCACAGATGTCTTGTGACATGTATTTGCAAATATGTGGACCTTAGATTAACAATTTTTGATGCCGTTGTCATTTGCCTCCACTTCCTCATTTTTTTTGCATAAACGTCAATTGCATTCCCACCAGCATGACACATAATGGATTTATTTAGTTCTCAGTAATCGAGAACTGGCCTAACCTTGTTTTTTGTGGGTTCCACTGCCATTAAGGGTAGCACTCCTGTCTGAACATCCTGGCCCCACGGGGTTAAGATTCCTTCCTCAATCCACCGTTTAACTTCACTGTCGAACTTGACCTTCTCCTTACTCAGTTTAGCATGATAGTGACTAACGTTGTTTTTTAATATCGGGGGTTCTGAAATCCATTTCCATTCCACGGTCCACTTCTTTCCATCAAATCTTGCACCAAAGTCCTTATTTACCACTTCACATTGATTTTTTTGCTACTCTTGCTATTTGGTTGTTTGTTCATAGCACAATCTCCTCCTCTGAACTCCACATTACCATTTCTGTAGACGGTAATCCCTCCAAGCTGGCAGATAACATCCATGCCCACAATGATGTCAACACCATCGATAATCTTTTCCATCACAATTGCCTCAATTCTCAGAAACTTAATCCACGTAATGTTTTTTTATTGCACGCATGCTACTTCCGGTCTTCCATAGATTTGATTTACAGTGTTATTGACACAAATTATATTTTTTTATATACTGGTGTTTGTAAGAAGCTTTGGAAATTATAATCTGTAAATATATATATATCTACTTAATAACAACATTCATTAAATTCTACAAACTTTTCCCTAATTTTAGAAGAATTAACAACATAATATAAAAATAATAAAATATTTCGGAAATAACTAATAATTGTTTTAAAAATTCCTTTTTCATTGAAATATCTTTTTGCTTTCAGACAATATTGCCCATGTTCATTAAAATAAATAAAAGCAATTAAAAGCTTTTGAAATTAAATAATATTTTTGTTTTATTGAGTTTTGTATGTTACAATTCAGAGATGATTTTCAGGTAGAAGTAACTAAAAAAAAGACTAAAAAAAAAAAAAAAAATGGTTTTGTTTTCTCAAAGCCTTGTGCTTTTATCTAATATAATCACTAATCTATCCAAAATTGAAATTATAGAGTTTTCGGACAATTAGTTGGTGGGTGGGTGGATAATACATATGAAAAAAAAAAAAAATTGCCATGACTTTAAAAAAAAAACATTTATAAGTTCCATCATTTGTGAATAGTTTCTGAAAGTTTCATTAAAAACCAACAATTATTTTTATTTTTGCAAGATTTTCAAAATTAATGTCTGTCATACAGAAAAAAAATGTATTAAAACTTTATATGTTATTTTACTAGTTCCGGTGATTACAAAGAGAAACAAGGTTTTTTTAATCAAAATTTAGAATGTTCTAAAAAGAAGGAAAAATTAAAAAAAATACTTTGATCTTTCCTCTTAATAATAACATAAACATTTAGATGCTAAAATTTTGTTTTTGTCAAGTTTGGTGTCTTTTTCATCATGCTATGCTCTGTTTTTTGTGATCTCATGAAGGTACCTAGGTGGAAGTGAGTTTGATTTTACTTTTTTGCTTTAAAAATATCTAAAATCTTTATGAATATAAAAATAATTTTCCTTTTTTTTATAGATTAACTTTAAGCTATTATATTTTAAATGAAATGACAATTTAACTTCAAAGAAGACCTGAGGTTTTCAGCTCATTTTTTTGAATTGCTTACATAGAAACTGACCCTCATTGTTAAATTGTGAAATTAAATTTTTAAAATCTTTTACATATATAATCTCAAAGCTTTGGGTTAAAAAAAATAACAACAGTTAAACAATCACTTATCACTCCATGTTTTGTGTTTTAAAGAAGCAATCACTAAACAGTGCAGATGTGTTTTGCTTCTATATAAAATGAAATTTACATTAAATAAAATTTTATTTTAATTGTTTTTGTTTGTCTTGTGACAAATTTTCTTTTTTGTGGCATTTTCAATGATATAAATTTTAGAAGATAAAATGGATATTTTATTATATCTAATATAGCAACAATTCAATAATGTTAATGTTGGAAATAATAATTAAAAAAAGGATTTTATTTTTATTAATTAATTTTGGGGGCTCAGAGGAAACTTAATAGCTTTTGTTATTATAAAATGAAAACATAGTAAGTTTTTGATGTAACATAAATAAAATTTTCCTTTTTATCACAAATAATTTGTTTACATTATTCTGAACAAAATCATATAATCTTTACTTTTTCCAGAATAAAATCCATTTGAGGATTTCTGCATTAATTTTTTTTTCTTAAAATTGTATAAGTGTCATTTGTATTATGATGGGTTCTAGCAGGGTAGACTAGCCTTGAGTGGTTGCCAGTCTTTGAGAAAGAACATTTGGAATTCAAAACTGGAAAAGGTATCAGGAAACCACTCTACTATCTTTCCCAAGAAGTCATGGTGATTAACAGATAATATAAAAAAGGAATGTGTGAAGAGCATGATTGCCTATATAGTAATGTGACATGACATTAAAAAACTCCTTTGTATCTTATAAGCATTTTTAGATAATAAAAAACATCTCCATCTTATTTAGTAAATGATAAATATTGCATTGTATTAGTTTTTAGAATATTGTAAATTTAAAATTATTCTTGTAAATAAACAATCTAATAAATAGTGTTTAATATTTTTGTTTTAAATCCTCAAGAACAAAAATGTTTAAATTCACTTTCATCATATGTTTAGGTTTCATTACAATTATAATTGCTTTTTAAAACAATAAACATCGCCAAGGATTGAAGGTAGTTAAAATAATAATTGTGTCAATGGAAAAAAAACCATCTTTTTGACAGTTTTCCTGCAGGCATGAAGATCCAAGTTTTAATGTTTTATTTAATTATAAATATTTTTATAATAAAATAAAACATTGAAATTATCAGAGTTTAACAAATTCAGTTCAACCTCCACCTTATTTTCTTAAGTCATGTACTGTAGAAAGTGCTTGATGCTCTGTTTTCATATTACTGTTACTGATAACTGCTAAATAATTCAAATCACTATATAAATTATCTATTGTTATTTTTTATTTTTTTCAGTTCATTTCTACCAAATGATGAAATGCTTCAAGGCTTTTGGTCAAGAGTTTAATAATGGTGCTGGAAATAACTGTGTCAATAAAATAAATAAAGATGAAAATCAAAAGGGTAAGTAAGATTTGATCACAGATTTATGTACTTTTTTTTACATTTCCTTGGAAGATTTATTTTTTAATTTAGAGTTTATTTATTTCATTAAAAATTAGAAATTTATTCTTTAATATTTCAGGTTATACACAAATCTATATTGGCAATATATCAAGTGAAACTTCTATTGTAAGTTTTTAATGTTCATCCTTTCTGTTAGTATTTACATTGTTTCTGTTTCTAAGCACAGTGATGTTTGTTTATTTTAGTGATTGTAGTTAAGAAATTAACTGCTGAAAAGTATTGGTTAAGCATTATTAACATTACGAGAAATAGGATTAATAAATGATTTCTTTTGCTTATTCAAGTTCTCACTGCATTGTTACTTATATGTCTTACATGTCAAATGTTTTCTAAATAAAGTATATAATTTAAAAAATATCTGCATATTCTGTACCAGTTATCTTATTTTTTGTTTTCAATTTATAGCTTTTATATCTTATATAATCTGCTGGTAGCAGTTAAGGATGTAGAATAAATTTTAATATAGTTTCAGTTAGACTTTAAAGCTTTATCAGTTTGGCAGTTTCAAAAATGCAAATTGAAACAATAGTTTTTTCTTGACCACTGGATGTGTCAATTATAAATGTTTACAACAAGTTAATAAGGTACAAAGTATAAATAATAACAATAAGTTAAATGTAAATTATAACTGTTTACAATAAGTTCTCAAGAACAATTTACTTTATTTCTAGGATAAAATTCAGAAGTTCCTTGGTGATATTAAAATTATCACTTTTCAACAACAGAATAAGGAGAATTAGTAAGTATGAGGGTTTTTGATTCTTCTAAGTTAAGAATATAAGAGAGAATTGTATTTCACTTAAACTTGGAAACTGAGAGAAAATTTAAAATATTCATGTGTGAACAGTTGGTAAACATTTGTGTAAGGAAATTTTTCATTGTCTTATTTCTATTTTTTTATTTTTATTTTATTACAAATTTTCCCAATTGTATCATTTACAAATTTATGAACATTTTACTCTCTTAGTTGAAGAAAAACATCAAATGAGAGAATTTCATTTTAAAATTCTTTCACTTTGTTTTTAAGCCTGGGACAAGACATTAAAAAATATTGATTCTCTTTTCAATGTTTCAGTTTTGCTTTAGCAAATTTACCAAACAGACTTGAAGCTGAGAAAACTGTAGAAATGTACAATAATAAAGTTTTTATGGGGCATAAATTGGTTGTAAGACTTGATGATAAGCAGAGTAAGTAATTTACATTTTTTCTTAAATTATTTTGATTTGTTTTTATTAAATGTTTTGCCTGAGATAGGTTTTCATGGTGTCAGTATATTGGACATTTTACAGAAAAACATTCAGTTGATGATAATATAATTTCAATAAAACATTTTCTCTTATAATTGGTTATTTAAAAACAGCTTTTCTACTATACTGGTCAAGTACTGGTCTCAGTTATTTTATGTGATACCTAATTACAAGCCATTGTCAATAACCATGGAAATCACATAGTTCTACATGCTATTTGTTTATCCTTTTTATAGTACATGTTTTGCATTTTGTATAATATTAACCATTCAAGAATCATAACAAACTGTATCATTTCTTTATGAATATACATAACTATTTATATTTTTAACACCCTACAAAATATTTAATTGTAATACATCATGATGTTGTATGATTCAATTTTATCAAATAAAAACATTACAAACAAATTCAGTTTTTAAAAAGAATTAAGCATTAAAAACTAAAACAAATTAAAATATTTGAAAAAAAATTATTTTGGCAGTTTTAAAAAAATTTTTTATCATTTCACCCCTAGCAAGGCAATACAGCCACTAGGGGTTACTGAATGTTAGAGAATATGAGAAAAACAACTATTAAGGAGAAAGGACAATAAAAGAACAAGAATTAAGAAGACAGAAGATAACTGACATTGCATTTAAATTTTTGAAGATCAAAGTTGGCTGGTAAACAAGAAGCCGGAAGAGAGTTCCACAAGTGAGAAGTGCGATAAAAGAAACTGTTAGCATAGAACTTACAGTTAATCTAGCCATTTCAACTGTAAAATGATGAGACCTTGTTGTCAATCTAGTACTGCATTTAAATTTATAAAATCTAGGTATAATAACAGAAATTTCATCAGAACAATAACCATGGAAGTATTTATAGAAAAGACACAGGGGAAAAACATTACAGCAATGGGAAAAGGACTGAAGCTGAGATGCAGATTCTTTGCATTTTATAAAAAATTTCTAAATATATAGCCAACTATATGACAGCAATATTTAAAGCAAGGATGAATGGTAAACTTACAAATATGTAAGACAGATTTTGGCAAAATTTTAAATGAAGGGGACTTCATTTTTAGGACAACTTGGACCTTAGAATATTAGCTTGATTAATCATGTTCAAAAGTTTCTGTTACTTAGTTTTGTATTTCATAAATTTCTTTTATTGTTTATGAAAGAAATTCTTTGTGATTGTTTCTTCAGATACAAACATTAAAATCCTTTCTGAAATGCCTGAACTGGAGGATATTGATGATGATGATATATTGCAGTATGACATTTTGAACAATCGGTCATCCAACAACAAAACAAATTTTACTTGTACAAATAGCAAAAAAT